AAGGAATGGCGCGAGGGGAGAGCTTGTCCGCGGTGGTATCGCGGACAAAGGCACGAGCACCCCAGACCCGGAAACGCGACGCGTCGCCAACCTTCCCCGTCCACAGCAGTGTGGGCGAGGTCTCCGGCAAGGAGACACGGGGCCAAAGGTTGAGCTGATGCGCGGCATACCGGACCGCAAACGGCCACAGAAAATGGGGGGCAGCCGCATGGATCATGGAGGTACGAGCGACCTCCATGACTAAGCCAATGCGGCGCTCAGCAACCCCATTTTGCTGCGGAGAGGCTGGAAGCGTGAAAGTCTGGCGGATGCCGTGCTCCGCACAGAAGGCTGCCAAGAGGTCTGAGGAGAACTCACCACCTCGGTCAGAGTGCAGACGCAGGACAGGAAAGTCCGACTGGAACCGCTCGCGGAGCTGGAGACGAGTAGCGCGGATCCAGGGGATCAAAACATCAGGGACATCCCCCTTGCGCTGCAAGGGGAAGACCATGGTGTAGCGCGTGTAGTCGTCGACAACCAGCAGGAAGTACCGCTCGTGGCCCTGTCCACGGACGCGGGCTGGGCCCCACACGTCCAGGTGGAGAGTCTGCAGTGGAGCCTCTGTGGGAGGGAACGAGGAGGAGTGAGGAGCGGCGCGCTGCCGCCCCTCGACGCAGGGAATGCAGGGCGGCGCAGGCGAGGGAGGGAGGGGAGGCAGAGACCTGGGGAGACCAGAAACCAGGACGCGGGAGTGCATGCTGCGTAGGCGAGGCAGGGAGGGGTGACCAAGGCGGTGGTGCCACAGGAGAGTGTCGTGCGACAGCCGGCGACACTCACACTGTGTAGCTACCTGAGCAGACGCGTGCAACTTGGGAGACAAAGGGGCGGAGCGTGACGCAGTGGTGAGGGTGTACAGACTGGACCCCGGCGCACGAGCGAACGTGGCCAGGTGGCGACCAGTCTGGGAGCACGTGCAAATCGCCACACGCTGCCGGCCAGGGGTGAAGGTGTCAACCCCCGCATCCTGGAGGACAGCGTTACTCACCAAGTTCGTAGAGAACGAGGGGAGGTGGAGACCAGACAGCTCACCAGACGGGACCGCCGGACACGGAAGCACAGTGGAAGACCGTGCAAGCACCGGGCCCCCAGAGGGGTCAACCAGTGAGACAGGAACAGGTGTAGAGAGGGGAGTGACTGTGGTACTATCGCGAAAGAAACAGCGGGAAGCACCAGAGTCAAGTGTAAAGGTGTGCAAAGCTAGTGTAGGCGCAGTACCAAGGGAAGCAGACTCACAAGCACCTAGTGCTGCAGGGGCTATACCAGGGGCTATACCAGGATCCGGCGGCACACACAAGTAGCAGTCACCCTTAGCACTAACAGACAAGGCATACATAGCAGCAAGAATTGCCTCATAGTCAAGATCAAAGATAGGTACATCACGCCTAAGCAATTCTGCCCAGTTGGGGAACTCAAGAGCATCAGGAAACTTGGCGCGCCAGGCGTCGCTAAGCCGAGTGAAGCAGCGCTGCTCAGTGTGAAAACCTGTGCACTGGCGACCAGCGCGGGGACCTGTGCGGATGATATAGGGGCAGCGACCAGGACCCCCAGAAGCCCCACACCCGGCATACCAGTCAAGAAGCTGCTGGGAAGTGGGGGTCTGGCGCTGACGCTGATGCTGCTGCTGCTGCTGCTGCGGCTGCTGCTGGACCTGACCACCACTGCCACCACCGCTCCTTCCTCCCCCACCGCCGCTGCTGCCCCCTCCACCGCTCCCAGTGCCTCCGCCGCCCCCACCACCACCTCCACCGCCTCCACCCCCACGACCACCCCCACCACCTCCACTGCCCCCGCCGCCTGCACCACCGCCACCTCCACCGCCACCCCCACCGCCCCTGCCACCCCTGCCGCCCCTGCCGCTGCGACGCTTCCCACTAGGAGCGGAAGCAGCTCCGACCCCCTCAGCACCAAGGTAGTCGTGAGCAGCAGCTGCGGAGGCGTAGGAGGGGGTGAGAGGGGAGGGGGAGCACCCCTCAAAGAGGGGAGAGCGAGGAGTGCCACGAGCAGCACCTACAGCGAGGATGTTCTTCTCTGCTGCGAAGAGGTGCTTCTCGAAGTCGTCAACAGTGAGAGTGGTGGGGTCTAGCGCTAGGAAGTGGTCCCTGACTGAGCTAAGAGTGTCAGGGAGGCGGGTGACGAGGAAATAGAGAGTGAAGTACATCGGGGGGGGGGGGGGGGGGGGGGGTTTGCGGCGCAGAACTCGGCTGAAAGCGCGGCACGAAAGCGAGAGTCAGTAGTGCGTAGGTGAGAAACTAGGTCCTCAGCAGTGGTGAACGAGGAAAGATCGGGGAACAGGTACGGTAGCATGAGTCGACCTATGGCTGCAGTGGCCGGGGAGGAGTAGCGCGCAACTACACCGTCGTACAGTGTCTTAGCAGTTCTGTGCTGGCTGAAATGCGCTCGCTCAGTAATCGGCAGGTGGTTCCTAATAGCTAGGCGTGCTGCAGCATCACGAGTCTGCCACTGGGAGCGTTCTAGAGCAGGAGCATCAGCAGCAGGAGTAACGGCAGTGCCAGAGACGTAATCGAATAGTGAGACACCCTCTTTGGCATCAGTCAGAAGGAACAGCTGGAGATCGTCTAACCACACAGTGAACTCGATGGGACGACCGTCAGGCTCGAACGCTAGAACGTTAGGCATCGCCATATTGGCTTAAGGCAGGCGGCAGCAGGCAGCAGGCAGAGGCAGCAGGCACCAGGAGGAGGCAGGAGGTTGAGGCAGGAGGCAGGGGCAGCAAGCAGCAGGCAGGCAGCAGGCAAGCTGCAGGCAGGCGGCAGCAGGCAGCAAGCAGGCAGGCGGCAGCAGGCAGCAAGGAGCAGGCAGGCAACAGGCAGGCAGCAGGCAGGCTGCAGGCAGGCTGCAGCAGGCAGCAAGCAGGCAGGCAGGCAGGCTGCAGGCAGCAAGCAGGCAGGCGGCAGCAGGCAGGCAGCAGGCAGGCTGCAGGCAGGCGGCAGGCAGGCGGGCAGCAGGCAGGCTGCAGCAGGCAGCAAGCAGGCAGGCAGGCAGGCTGCAGGCAGGCGGCAGGCAGGCGGCAGCAGGCAGGCAGCAGGCAGGTTGCAGGCAGGCGGCAGGCAGGCGGCAGCAGGCAGCAAGTAGCAGGCAGGCAGCAGACAGCAAGTTGGCAAGCGGCAGTAGGCAGCAAGCAGGCTGGCGGCAGCAGGCAGGCAGTAGGCAGGCTGCAGGCAGGCGGCAGTAGGCAGCAAGCAGGCAGGCAGGCAGGCGACAGGCAGGTGGCAGCAGACAGCTAGCAGGCAGCAAGCAGGCAGGCAGGCAGGCGACAGGCAGGCGGCAGCAGGCACGAGGCTGCAGGTTGCACGTGGCTACGGGCAGCGCGCGCAGCTGCGGGCTGCTCGTGGTGACGCGCGGGCTGGCGGCAGGCTGCGTGGGCGGCTGGCGCGGCGCGTGGGGCCTAAAACGGGCTACACGGCGCGTGGGGCCTAAAACGGGCTACACGGACGCGGCGCGCAGGGCCTAAGCGGGTTGCGCACGGGCGGCTTACACGGCGCGCGGGCCGGCGGCAGGCTGCGCGGGTGACTGACGGGGCACGCGGGGCTGAAAACGGGCTGCGCGGGGGCTGCTTTAAGTGGCGCGCACGGGAAAAAAAAAAGGGCCACGCGCGTGCAGCCGAGGCGCGCGCGGGCAGCAGGTAATGCAGTAATCGGTGGGCCCTAATCTTAGGTCCTAAAGACCTATGCTCTAGATACCATCTTAGAAGCTAGGCATGAGTCATGTCGACTATCGAGAAGGTTGGTACAAGGAAAATGAACCTAAGGGGTTGTACCCCACTGTGTGTACCCCACTAAGCCTACCCAAAATATAACATAGATATACATATGTTTGACATGTGTCTCCTTTTTGCTCCCGACGATTCGAACCGTGGACCGTCTGATTTGCAAACATGTTACTTGTTTCACCATTTGTCGTGAATGTTTCGTGAAGGTATTGGCGACGTCGCCAACGGTTCAACCTGTCGCGTCACTTTTCCCTCCAAGCAACGGTTCACATTGTGAACTTTTGGCAGTTCGAATTGCAAACGGACGGATGCACAGTTCTGGCACTGGATTGGTGCGCGAACTACTCGAAAAACAAAAACCGAGCCGCATGGTCAATTTATTTGTGGCCCGCGACTCGCGCGTGAACATTGAACCAACACTACACCCCCTAGCCCACCAACACTACAAAGCCCCCAGCAATCCGAACTGAACCCACACAACCAGCCCGCGATGGGTAGATGTCTGTCTGTGTGGTGGTTTCAATGTATCGAGTTGTGTGGTGTGCTGGATGGTTGTGAATGTTTGAAATCGAGCTGCCATGGGGTGAGCGAAACTGGAGAGAGTGTGTGACTGGGGTAACGATGGTACAGTTGCTCTAGTGAGGCCACAGTACTTCGGTAGGTAGTTTCTGAAGTAGGGAAAAGTGACGTTTTTGCCTTCGGACAGTCTGAAGTTTCGAATGTTTGAAACGGACTGTCCGGTACCCGCTATTGGGACCGTCCGTTTCGATACATGTGGACTGTCCATGAAAACATAAAAAAAACAAAAAAGAGACACGCCCTTACCATCGACTCAAGATCTTCACCAGAGAGTTCCTTCCTTCCCAGTATAACAGTGCAGCACCCACTACACACACTAAGAGCTGAAAATATTGCCTTGGCATGTGTGGCACAGACCACCACCAGCAGAGATTCTTTCTCCCTTCCTTGCTTTGCAACAAACGCTTGTCAGTTATCTGCTCATGTTACATCGGCGACATCACAGGCATGTGGTATTCTAGTTGCACAAGCTAATGTCAAACTAGTTGCACACATGCTACCATCAGAAACTGCACGGAAGCAGCTACCTCAGGTAACTGTTGGGGCTCTTACAAAGCAGTTGGACGTGGGAGTAGTTGGCATGGGCATAGGCATCCTAGGGCTAGACAATAACCACTACAGCAATGCCACATGTGAGGCACCTCAAGAGTCTCTAGAACTTGGAGTAATCAGCGCGCGCATAGGCATCCTCAGGGTAAAAGATAGCAACCACTGCATTGCCTCCAAACTTGCGGCCGTGCAGGGCTGCCTTGGCCTTGAGGGCTCCTGCTGTGTCGCCATACTCAACAAATACCTGCACCAGGTGGGCCACGGTGGGAGGTGGTGGAGAGGGATGGTGGGCGGTGAGAGAAGGTAGAATCACTTGGCACTGGCTGCCCCACTGCGGACGTGGAGGTCCGGAACCCGTCTTGGCCAAGTTATGAAGTGCAATGAGCACCAAAAAACCTACAGGTCAGCTTCCTGCCCCTCTCACTGGGCACGGCTGCTGGCTCATAAGGCACATATGCTCTTCAAAGTGGACTCAAACGAGCAAGCATGAGGCAATAAACATGCGGATCCACTGTGTATGAGACTTACCATGCCCACCCCAGGAGCTGCTGTGCCTGCTGCTGGTGGTCGAGGAATAACCACATTCACAAGCGAACCTGTTTATAACGAGGACAGCGGGTCGGCAATACACCAAGGCACAGAGGAGAAGAAGCATGAGTCGAACTTGAAGGTGGTGCGCAAGTGAGGAAGAGAGGAACCAATGCAGGTGCATAAGCACAAATGCACACGTGCACACGTGACCTGTGGCAAGTCATGTGGCATGCGATGCGTCACGCCGGTCAGTCAGACTGCCTTCGGTCAAGGAATACTTTTGAAGTCATGAGTCCAACACCAGCACAACAGGGAAACAATATGGTCGGAATGACTGACCGTATTTAGCGCACTCCTCTCGCATGTCCTCCATGATCTCATCGTAGTCCTCATCGTTGGTCAGCTCGTCTGGTGACACCACCTGCCAGCGCAGCAATGGTAGCAATGGCAGGGCAGCAATGGCAAGGCAAGAGGGTGGTGAGTCAATGGCTTACCATGGCACACCATGTCATCAAGGCACGCTGGCAGCATGACACAGTGAGGCGGGTGCAGCAACATGTACAAAAGAAACAACGCTGGCTTGACCACAAGTGAGTGAGTGAGTGCGTGAGGAGGCGAACCTGTGAGAGGCAGATGACTTTGGTGGGGATGTCAACAGGAGTACCCGGCAGGGCAGCAGCCGCCCCTAGCCCCACTGTGTTGGCACCTGTCAGGGCCATGCGCTGGCACCACAAGGAGTGGGTTGGGGTTGACAGTGAGGTGGAGAGAGAGGAATGAGATTGATGAGGAGAAGGGGAAGAGCGAGTGAGATTGACCAGTGGAAGTGGGGGAAAGGTATAGAATGCAAGGACAGAGTGAGTGGGAGGAGCAGAGGAACGCACCGACAGGGCGATTTGCTGCTGAGCCTGCGCCAACACATTGGCTTGCTCGGGCTTGGCCTGACCACTGCAGCACAATAAGACATGCCACAGGCAACACAGAAACAGAGGGACAACAAATACAGTAAGCAGCCATTAGTGCGAAGGAACCAGCAGTGCACCCACAATAGCGCTGCATGCCACCTGATCCATCTGGAATGGCATGTGAAAGCGCAGCAACCACCAGCTGACAATACCCGAGAGTACGTCACATGGCACCTGGGAGCACCTGGGAACGCACCTGGCTGTGGCACGGCGCACGGTGAGCGTTTTGTCGCCCATCTTCATGCCGTTGAGCGCCATGCATGCGATGTCCGTGACACTGGGGTCCTGGTACACACAGAAGCCGTACCCCTTGCTGTTTCCCGTGTCCCTATCCTTCACCAGGTCAAACGCCCGTAGAGGACTGGCAGGGGAAGAAGGCAGAGGGAAATGTGCAAGGAGATGCACTTGAGCCTTGATGACCCGCATCTGAGGTCCAAGAACAAAACAAGTATACAGAGGGGAGCACAGGCCTTCGTTTAAGTGGCTTGCTGTATTGCAAGAAAGCAGAGAGCTCTGAAGAGAGGGTGATCTGGAGTGGGAAACGAAGGAGCTAAAGAAGTGACTGACCCAAAGGAGGAGAGCAGCTCGCGGATCTGCTCCTCCGTGAGGTAGTACGGCAGCCCACCCACGAAGATGCGATCTGGACCGTCCGCTCCGCCCGAACCACTGCAGGAGCGAGATATGGAAGAGGAGAGGCCAAGTGGTGTGAGTGAGCGGTGGGTTCCGAAAAAACGAGGGGTAGAAGACTTGAGACAGAAGAAAACATGCGGGAAAGGGCACCACAGTCATGCCATGTGCGTAGTGCATCCAGAGCAGGCATAGAAAGTTGTGAAACACCTTCGGTCTAGGGGTTAGGGTGCCAGAGGAGGCGAGGTGGAAAGGGAAGGCAAACCGGGGGAAAGGGGAGGTGAGGGTGGGTGGGGGGAAGGACGAGGGAATCAGGAAGCATGTGCGGAATCGGGAGTGAGGCCTTTAGAGTCATCTCAAGAGACAAGGGAGCCGAGAGTGGACGGTGTTGGGCACATGGGAAGGTGTACCCGGCAGTGAGGCCGACGGCAGCGAGGTTGAGGTTGGGGCTGGGCTGCGTGGGGCCGAGCGTGGCCGCCATTGATGGGTTGTAGTCGCTGGGCCGCCGCACCCTCACTGACACTCCCTGGTGGAGCAGAGGGGAGGGGGGCAGAGTGCAACAGAAGATGTGAGGTCAGTCAAGGGTTTAGGGTGAGAGACAACGGGAGGCTGCATGCGGATGTGAGACACTGGCAAGGGTGGGAGCAGCGGATGGTATGCTTCGCACCTCCAGGCCGACGTATGTGACGTCTCAAAAGAGTGGGTGCAGCGGATTCGAGGCACTGGCAATGCATGCAAGGGTGGGAGCAGTGCAACACATGGCACGCAGCACGCACCTCAAAGTTGATGCCATCGAGGGCCATGGCGTTGCTGGCCTCCTCCACTGTGCGCATCTCCACAAAGGCAAACTTCTTCTCCTGGTTGATGTACACGTACACCACACAGTCGCCTGGGCGGATTGTGGTGGGGGGGGGGGGGGGGAAGGGGGGGTAAGTAAGACAGGCAATCTCGCACTCTTCTTCTCCTAGCTGATGTACACGTATACCATGCAGTCGCCTGTGAGTATGGGCGGGGGGAAGGGTACGTGGTGTGGGGGAAGAGGGGGGGCGGACACCAACTTTTAAGTGAGGCCGTTCACGTCGTTGACACACACATACCACGATTGAGAGCAGCAACAGGAAAACACGAGGAACGGGAGGTGGTGACGAGGAGCCCAGTCCACAGCTCCTGCGCAAGCTGCTTCTCCCCTTTTGCACAATAGCAGATTTTTCCCCATCGCTCGTCACATACCAAATGCGTGTTTCCCTTCCCGCCCCCCATTCCCATTATCTCAGCGGCAACATACCTGGGCCGGCGGTGTTGCCATTGACGAGCGCCATGGCGTTGTTGAAGAACGCCGCCACGCTCTGCACAGCGCACGTGCGCGCACGCACACACACAGGCACGGGGAGGGGGGAAGGGGGGTGATGAGATGAGGTACACACACACACGCAAAGAAACTGCCGACTACGAAACACCAGGACAAAAAACTAGCCCGTACCTGTTCGTTTGCCATGGGCGGGAGGCCGCCCACATACACCCGGCGGGCGTGGCGAGTGGCTTGCGTTGGCATGCCTCCCTGATAGGGAAAGAGGCAGACAGAGGAGGCAGAGAGAGGGCACAGGAGAAGGGCTTAACGTTGGCTGGAACACTCGAGCTACCGACCAGCATATGGTGGATGAGGAGGGCCGGAGGAGACAGAAAGAGAAGGGCAAGGGATGAAACCGGAGGAAGAGAGGAGAAGGCGTGGAGGTCTGAATGCATGGAGCACAAGGTGCTGCAGCGGGCCATCAGGGGTGATAAAAGGCATCAGAGACTCGTGGCTCTGTCCGCATCAAGTCACAAAGCATCACGTGGCACTGCAGCACAAGGGCGAACTCCGTCCATGCACAACGAGACAATCAATAGCTCACCACACCGACAAAAGCTTAGCTCATTCGCCATAACGACACAATCTCCTTGATAAACGGCAATGCCCCATTTCCAGTGAGGCTGAGGCTTTTCTGGAGTTGAACTGAACTAAACAGCCGCAACTAATAGCTCTAGATGGAACAAGTGCCAGGGGCAGCTAGCGCGGCAGTGGAAGCGTAGCAGGCCATCAGGAGTGAAACTAGTGTCAGAGACTTGTGGCTCTGTCCGCATCAAGTCACAAAGCATCACGCGGCCTACTGGAAACGACTCATCACAGCTAGCGCCCACGCTTCAACCGGCACGTGCAGGCTATATCATTGAGAACCTAGAGGGCCATCAGGGGTGAACGGTTGTCAGAGATAAAGGGCTCTGTCCGCATCAAGTCACAAAGCATCATGTGGCCGACCACCGAAAGTTACACCTCATATGAAGACAGAAGCAAGCTCTATCCTATCCTGTATCAATGAATGCCATGGAAGACGCAAAACCAACAAACATCCCGAGGAAAGAAGTAAACGACGACATACTGCAGGACTGGGCGGGGCCATCAGGATTGAAAAAGGGTATCAGAGACTCGTGGCTCTGTCCGCATCAAGTCACAGAGCATCATGTGGCCGCCTGGCACCTAGCGTACAGCAGCCCGCTCACCTCATCGCAGCCAGATTGTGCCTGCATGGCATCGCATGCCTACCCTTGAGCACCACTGCGGTTACAAGCAGCAGAGAGCAGCTAAAAAAGAACGTGGTTACCAGTTGTGATGGTTACCTGGGCAGCGGTGGCAGCGAAGGGGAACATGTTGGGGAACATGGATCCGGGCACTGCCTGCATGCCTGGCAGCCCCGCGAATCCCGCTGCCATGGCGCCTGGGGGGGCGACGGGCACGAAACACAGAGCAAGAGAAGACGGGGGATGCGGAGTTGTGTTTGCCGGCGCAGATGCAAAGACCTTCAAACATGGTGAGGTGCCTCGTGCAGCGCCTTCTAGCATGGTGCGTGAAACAAAAAGGCAGTCCAGCACTGGGTCGAGAGCAGAACGAGCACGGCAGGAGGGGAGGAGCGGCAATGGAAGCACGGACCAGAACGAAGATTGAACTCCCCGCACACACCAAACACCTCTACCACGCCTGTACTGGACCTGCTTGCCCTGCTGTCTTACCAGCGACGCCCGTGAGAGGCAGCGTTCCCACAGAAGGCGCAGCAGCCGGCGCTGGTGCCGCTGGCGCTGGTGCTGCTGCCGGCGCTGCTCCCCCAGCTCCAGAAAGCAGGCCTGCTCACGGATCCATTACAGCATGCCCCAATAACAGTACAACAATGCAGCAAAATATCGAGGCTCAAAACCAGGAAATTAACCAAATGCAAACAAATTTATCAAAATGAAAGGGCAATGTACGGAACCAGTTACTCCCCTTCAACATCTCTTAACGAAAAGGCAATAATCCTCCCAATTCCAAGGCCATCAAGTCAAGCAGAGGCGTGGGGGATTTACCCTTTCAATCATCGTGCTAATGCGAAGCGAGAAGGAGCGGCGAAGAGAGGAGGGGGAAGAATGAGAGGTGGCGCGGGCCGGCTTGGGATGATCACCGAAGTGAGGCGGTTAGGAGGTGGAGGGGTTAAAAAAGCGGCCCAGAAACACACACACAGCCGAACGAGCAACCAAGAAGCAAGAGCAGGGGGGAGAGGAAAGGAGAAAAGAGACACACACGGCAACAACCACCACAGCAGACAACGACAACCGAGCCACGGAAGTGAGTCCGCGTGAATCACTGAGAGAAACTGACAACTGCCAGAACAGGAGGTAAAGTGGCAGCAGAGGTGAACGATGAGTCGGTGTTGGGGGGAGGGCGGGCGTACCTGCTAGCCCGGGCACGGATGCAAGAGAAGGACCAGGGCCCATGTCGAACCCGCTGGCGCGCCTGCACGAATGAACATGCGCACACGGAGGCATGATGCACGATGAGGACATGTGCCTTTACGGGGCGAGGATACACGAGAGGCTCATGATGCAAACTCATTGAACGATGCAATAAAAACGCAGGTATGGATTGTACGGAGCCTGAACCGAGCGCATGGCGCAAAGTACCTGCGTCTCTCCCTGTCTCGGGAGCGGGAGCGAGAGCGCGACCTCGAATACGAACGGGAACGCGACCGAGAGCGATCGCGACGCCTGCTGCGCCTGCCATAGCCGATTCAAAATCAGATCCACAGAAAACGTCAGAGAAGACTAAGAAGTAAGTTGCATATGGCAGCACAAATAGATATCATAGAATGCGAAAAAAAAGGCACGGCCAACGAGCGCAACGCAGAAAAGGAAACTCGCGCCTGAAAGGAACAAAAACAATTACCTGTCGCGGTCGCGGTCGCGGTCCCGGTGGCGATAGTCTCGGTCTCTGTCCCTGCGATGGCCTCGGTCTCTGTCCCGATACTCGCGGTCGTCGCGATCTCTGTCCCTGTCCCCGCTTCCTCTGCCGCGATCCGAATGCCGCCGCTCGCGGCTCACGCGGTCGCGGTCCCTGTGCCTGTCGCGGTCGACGTCCCTCTCCCCGCCTTCCTCCTCGTCCTCCTCGTCCTCCTCGCTCCCCTCCCCCTCGTCCTTGGGCCCCCCTCTGGCTCTGTCGCGGTCTCCTCGTGGGCGTCTGGCGCGCTCTGCCCCCCTGTCGCCGTACGGTGACTGCGAATGGGAACGACGGGATGCGACAGTGCGACCAAGGCATTATGTTAGCGAAACCGGCAGAAGCATTAAAAGCCGCTGACAAATATCAGGACAATGCATTGCCTAATTATTGCACGTCTCTCCATCCAAGATTCGCTGAAACACAATAACAAAACTATAGGAGGCAAATACTTGTCAATGGATCTCAAAAATACCCTCAAGAATCCAAAAAATCCCTGTCGTGGTCATTTCAGATCATTCGCGCATGAAGGAGTGGACCTGAGAAAGAACGACATATCCTTGAAAAAAAACACAGGTGGAAGTGGATACAACCACATGAAGAAGGATATTTTTCAGTGAACGAACGAAGATCGACTCGAGCTGGTTTGATCAACGGACCTCATCGTCGCGATATTCTTCGTCGTCACCCTCTTCTTCCTCATCCTCATCGCGCCGACCACGGAACTCCCGGGAACCACGGGGTTCCCGTCCCTCGCGGCTACCACGCCTGTCGCGGCGATCGTCGTGGCGAACTTCGCGACGGTCGTCGCGTTCGTCGGGCTCATCCTTCGCGTCGCGAGGGCCGCCTTCGTACTCCTCGTCTTCGTCTTCGTATGGCCCTTCGTCCTCGTACCTCTCGGCGTCGTCACCCCTCCCCATGGCGACTGATCAACACCAAACCCTAGCAAGCTTGTGAAGGAAAATGAAATGGAGAAATCAAGAAAACAGGTTTAGTGGAAGAGAATGAAGTGCAGGCAGACATATGTGCTGGGAATCACGCATCTGTGGGACAACTCCGAGGGCAACAAGTTCGAGGGCTACAACGCACTATTGCGAATGGACCAGACCAGATACCGTACAAGAAGCAGTACACGCAGAAAAAACGACTAATTCTAACAAATTCGTACAACCTGTAAGAACAATGCCACGAACTCAGAATAACCATTGGATGATTCATCAAAGAATGCTCACATTGCATGCCCAAAATAATGCTGCTAATCAAATGAGCATGCATGTATTCTCCACGTGAACTCAAAACGGCAATTCCTAACGCTTGGCTTCATCAATCCTCACAGAGATTCTCCGCCAAGTCCCAAAAATGTGCAACCTTGCGATCCTCCAGAAACTTCCTGGCAGTCGCACTTGAGCGACACTGCTCCACTGTAAATTTTTCAAACGCGGCTCGGGCCACTGTACCCTGCCACACCAACTCACACTTGTTCTCCTTCTTCAACCCACCTTCACCCATTCCCTCATCCTCCTCCCCAGCTGCACCAGGAGCCACAGCATCAGCCCAGTGAATCCTCCTCATCATCAGCTTCAAGTACCTCTTAACCGACTTGCTCACGCCTTCCACCACCACCAACACAAACGAATCAGCCAGTAACGCACACCCAGTCAGCCTATTCTCCTGCGCATTCACATCCACCTTGAAGCGCGTCTGCGGGTGCAGCAGATGCCGCACTTTAAACACCGCCACATGCGTCTCCCCGCCACCACCCACACCTCCCCCTAGCGTCTCCTCAAACAGCTTCCTCTCCTTCTTCTCCCTCCGCTCCGCCGGGGTCAGTTTCCTCGCGAGATTCCGGTCCACATGAGCCTGCTCTCTCTCTGCCGCCGCAGCACGCACCTCCTTCTCCATCTTCGTGGGGTCCTGTGTGGCTTCAGCAGCCATCACCCGCATGAGGTTGCTCATCTTCACCTTGGCTTTCGGAGGTTCCAGCAACCCCTGTCGGACCATCTCCTGCCTCTCCTTCTCCCGCGCCACGCGCCGCTGCGTCCGCAGCTTCTTCTGCTCGCCCTTGGTCAGCCGCAGCGGCTGCGGCGGCGGCGGGGGGGCTTCGGCAGGTGGCTCGATGGGCACAGGGTGTTCGACGTACATGGTGATCTTGGACGCTTTGAGGGCTGCTGGCACAGCAGCACCCTCCTCGGGGTACTGGTTAGACGCCAGGATGAGGGCGTCCCTGTGAGGGGGAGGGGAGGTAAGGAGGGAAGGCTCAGCAGGCGGCTCGATGGGCACGGGGTGTTCAACGTAGATGGTGATCCAAAACGACTGCTTCCACAGCAGCGCCCTCCTCGGGGTACTGATTAGAGACCAGGATGAGCGCGTCCCCCTGTGAGGGGAGAAGAAGAGGAGGAGATGAGGGTAGTGTGATGAGGGAAGGGCAGGAGTGGGGTTAAGAGGGTAAGAGCAAAAGAGCTGCTGGGATGTCAGAGCAGAAGAGCTGCTGGGATGTCAGAGCCCTCTTTGGGGTACTGGCTGGACGCCAGGATGGGCACGTCCCTGTGGGGGGAGGGGGGGTTACTGTGATAAGAAAAAAGGGCAAGAGTGCGGTGAAGAAGCATCGGAATGAGCACCAAACGGGAATAAGGCACGAGGGAGAAGGAGGGAACAGGAGGGAAATCCAAACCAAAGAATTTAAGTCGATGAGAGGGTTCAGCCGCACCGATGCGAAGAAGTTTTTTGTTAGCATTGTGAGGACGCTTCCGTGCAAGTGGTTGACCTACCGCAACTCACAATGCATCGTGAACGCTCTGATGTCAATGCCCGAGCACGTACGCATTGGAATCCATGAACAAGGGGTCTATTTTGTCTGCAATAGAACCAACATGCAAGTGGAACGAGATCACAAAGTGCGACCCCATTGCTAGTGCTTTCGTCATTGGAATGGGGTCGCACTTCGTGATCTCGTTCCACTTGCATGTTGGTTGTATTGCAGACGAAATAGACCCTTTGTTCATGGATTCCAATGCGTACGTGCTCGGGCATTGACATCAGAGCGTTCACGATGCATCTTGCGTTGTGGTAGGTCAACCCCTTGCACGCAAGGCAGGTGCCTCACAACCACTCGATGAGGTTTCTCTACAGGGTGCACAGGGAGCTGTCCCACCTCCGTGAAGGTATCATTGAGGCACCTTGGAAATAGTCTTACCACCACTCGACGTCGGGAATGGGCAGCTTGGGCTTCTCCGAGGGGGGCACGGGGCGCTGCCCCACCTCCACGAGGTTGGGGTTGTCCCCCCCCCTCCGCCGCCTCCCTCTCCTTGGCCCTCTGCCGTGCCGCCATCTCCATCTGCCTCGCCATGCCAAACTGTGCCTGTTGAGGTGCAAGGGGGTGGAAGGGGAGCTGTAAGCATCAGGACATGCATGGGGCGCAGTGAGCGTGCTGAAGAGGGTCATGACAGCAGATGGATGGGTGTGGGAGGTGCGGGTGGCGCTGCCTTGCTCAGCTGCAATGCAAAGTAAGTGGAGTGGGGGAAATAATGGGTTTTGGGGACATGCCTGGTGAAACATGTCGTTGCCAAGCCTAATTCGCACAGGCACAGACTGGTTGACTAGGATTAAAGGGAATTCATAAAGAAGAAAAAAAAAAGGGCCCAACGGCGACGATAAAGCTCTGAACAGCATATACTGAACCACGAAATAGTCATCCGGTGAACCCTGGTACTCTGGACTGAGGACACACCCGAGGAAGCACCTGGAAACCGCACATGAGAACCCACCTGAGGAAGCTTCTTGAGCTTTTCTTTGAGCTCCTTGTGCACCTGCAGTGCCTTCTTCGCCTTGGCCAACGCATCCAGCGAGACGCTCGGGACCTGAGTGAGGGAATGATGGACAGACGGACGGACAGATGGATGGATGGATGGTTAAAGGCAGGTTGCGAGGTGGTCAACCGAGTTCGACGTGGCGAAATTCGACGTAGAAGGTGCAGCAGCCAATGCAAATGGAAGCGAGCATTGGATCCGCTGGTGTCAGCACGGCCTGTGCGACACAGCGCGAATTGGATGACAAATACGATGGACTCCTTTTGCATCAGTCATGATGAAGAACAAATCATACTACCACATGCTGTCTATCAATCAACGAGTTGACCGAAATCCAGTGGCGGTACCGCCAACCCTACCTTCTTTCCGCCAGCAGCGGGAGCGGAAATCCCCGCTCCGCCACCATCCGCGGGTTTCTGTCCGCCGTCGGCGCCGCTCTGCACCCCATCTGCTCCGCTATCCCACCGCCTCCGCTTCCCCGCACGATCTGCATCGTCGCCGTCAGCCGCGCCATTCTCAGCAGACACGCCGCCTGGCTGGTCAGCTTTCCGCTTACCGACCGGTAGGGTTTCAGTGTCAGCCATGGGACGTCGAAAGAAATATATATATTGAACGGACAGATGATCTTATCACTATGAAGACTGAAGTCGGAAAGGAAACGCGTATCGACTGTTTTCAGCGATTGACCTAAATTGACTACTGAAGAACATGGGACAGAAGAGGAGGGGGCGATGACGCGAACCGAAGCGAGGATGGGGAGGAGGGTGACGACGGCACAACGGACCAGTACCACTAGCTTCAGAGTGAAACCGCGCTTTTCTGCGCTAAGGGCTTTCTATCCGTAGGATCTGATGGTGCGGTGCCGTTTGGACCAACTTCTGGAGCTCTGTTGGCAACTAATGAGGAATTCCTGGAGAAATTGCGGATGGGGTACGCTACATGCAATTTCCACACGACTTCGCAGGAAAAACTGGTGCACATGTACTGTACCGGTTGCAACGGCTTAGAGTGGAAGTATTCATATAATGTGTAATCATATTGATCCAGCGGCACCTGTATCCAGCTACACTAGTACCACATTCTACCATGAATACCATAATAGAATAACCAGCACAGCATTGTATGCTCACTGTCAATGCCAAGATATAGATACAGAACGGCATGGACTAGGGGGTGAAAGGTGCTGTACAACATACCACTATTTATTCTTCTTTGCATATCTCTCATAGAAGAAGAAGCCAGTTAGGGCAGCATAGGACACTACCGAGATGCACACTATGTATATATTGATCCCCATGGTTGTGCCAGTATAGGGCGTCACCACCACCAGATTGGCGTTCATAGAAGAGTCAGTGTTCTGCAGTCACAACAGAAACAGCAGATGGGATGGGATCAGGAACAGGATGAGCTCAGGATGAAGGAAAAAAATAACTACCAAATTGGCATGGAGGTAAGCGGCCAGCTTCAGTTTGAGGCAAGAGGAGTTTTGAGAAAACAACTGACAGAGCAGCTGAGCGTGGTTTTTGCTAATGGGAAATTGTTAACAAAGGCGCGCACAAAGATCACAGGAATGCTATCCGGAACCGTGGCTGACCTGGCCGTAGGCGACGCTGTTGGCGGAGACGGTGGCGGAGGCGTCGGTGGAGTTGAGAACCCATGCGCGCACAAAGTACTGCGCGCCTGGCGTATCCTGCGACGGCCGCCACACCGTGTTGTTGCCGAACGCATTGTACGGTTGCGCTGCATGGGACGAGGTGTGGGAGGGGGGGGAATAAGGAAACGTTAATAAAGAACACAAAATCTTGCACACGGGGTGGTGTACTGGGACATGGAAAATGGTAATGTTCTTGGGGAAGGAAGAAGCCAAACGATGAGAAAAACGCGGATTCTTGCAACATGCGGAGACGTGATGTGCTCAGTATATCAACGCTGCAAATTTTCAGGGCTTACAGGCGATGGTGTATTTGCAGCTCTTGGAATGCGAGAGCACGTTGTTGGGTTGGCGCCAGGGGCGCGACGCCTGGCTGGGCGCGCCGAAGCAGAGCTGCAAGACGACCTTCTTGAACGCGGCATCGGTCCCCCACAGCGACTGGTTCAGGTGCCAGTGGATCGCCATCTCGTCCTGGGCGTACGTCATTCCGCTGCGAGAGAGGGACACGAAACAGCGGGTAGGGCGAAACACGGGGAGAAGACGCAGCAGGGGGGAGCTTGTGAGAGGATGGCTTGCAATTCGGGTTCCTGCTACTGCGATTCCTTAGGGGTTACAAAATTGGGAGACCATGGCAGAATGGGGTTGAATACTTGGGCCGCAGTGGCGGGGGTACTCACGTGCCGTTGGTGACATTGTGGCCGTTGACCGTTGTGGTTACCACGATAGCTTGAGTCAGAGACGAGAATTGCACGCTGCTCGGGTCGCTGACCGCATTCACCGCCGTGCAGCACGCTAACGCTAGCGTGAGGAGGATAGTTAGGGATAGAACACGGGTAGGAGACGCCATCTTGATTTCTACTTATATGGTTTCTATTTCTAAGGGAAGGCGGTCTAGTTAGAGGATGCCGTTTTACTTTGAGAACAAAGGTTTCGCGAGAAGGCGTTTCCTGACGACTAACGACTTCTGACACCTGGTTGGCAGAAATCTGCTATTTAATCTACATTCTCTCAGAAGCCTTCACTCGCTGTTTGATCCACGCTGACAGAGAGGATCGCCCCGAGTCGCGGCGCACGAGGATTCGGTACAGTATTCTGATCGGGGGTAGGGTAGGAACGGCAGTCTGCATCAATCCCAGCGCCGCTGTTACCATTCCTCCTGTCCGCTCAGACCCCTCCAACCGCCAGGACCTCGTCACTTTCTCTACAGCATGGCCAAGCATTCTCGCAAATCAGCCAGAACCAAGCATTCCACCAATGCACTCCGCGAAAGCAGCGGCTTCGGCCGTGCCCTACCCTCTCGCGCCACCAGTATGTGCTGGAGTTGCCCCCATCGCCATCCGCCAGCCGCCGCCATTCTCGTCCGCCCACCGCTTCTGCTCGGCTGGAACTAGGTGCCTACTGCCACTACGCTTGGCCTTTCAGTTTGAAAAAAGCACAAGCAAGAATATCGTCCAATCATGACCAAACTGAAAGTGTCTCGTGGTCTGTTCGACATTACGGCCCTCCGTCAGGTTGGGGGAGTTGTAACGCGATACCCAATCACGGACGACTTTCACTAGAAATGACCTTGCTGACGGCTTCAAGCTGCCCAAATGTGGCCAACCGAGCAGCATGCGGCCAGGCGATCCTTGGAGAAAGTTGGAAACTCTTCACGCCATTGGCTGCAATATTCTCCATCATCTTGGTCAGTTTCAAAGAGCTGCTAGCATAAGCAGCCTCTCTACAAGAGAGCTGTTCAAGTAGACCTGAACATCAGCAAAGACTATGCATATTTTCCTAAGTTTTACTTTCATATCTTTCTTCTAAATTTATCAAATGCAGTCTTTGCTCATGGATTTCTGCAATCTCAATGTATTGACCACTGAGCGTGCCAAAAGAGGTCCTGCATGTGCAGCGGCGGAACTTATGGGATCGGTTATGAATATGATACCAGATTTTGTTTGTGAAGCGGTGTTGACGGCGTTGATAGGTTTAGGAGCGGTTAGAGGAGGAGGGGAAGGAGGATCCAGTGGGGGAAAGGAGATCATCGCGCTTTCTCCGGACGGCAAGTTTCTGTTCACGGGCGGGCACGCGGATTTCTCTGTAAAGTTGGTCTAAGTGGACTCCACTCGCGTGCTCGAGACCGCTGATGTGCATGCTGGCCTTGTGACGTGCCTCGCTCTCTCCCCTGATTGCGCCACACTCGGCACCGGTGCCACGGACGGCGTGGTGCTGCTGTGGCGAGTCAACCAGGCCACTGCACCCTTCCCTTCCTCCCCTATCGCAGGGGTCACAGCTGGGCTCGTGGCAGTTGGGGCATGGGCGGGGGGGCGACTGGCAAGGCCCAGCACTGCGGCACCCACGGGCCCGCATGACCCTGCTCTGGCGGCAGCCGCTGCAGCAGAGTCCGCCAGTGAGGAGTGAGCAGGCAAAGTGGCTGCGGGGGGAGCGGACTACCCTGACAGGGGTGCGCTTGGTGGTATGTATGAAGCTGCTCTGCTGCAGAGTGCGGCGGGGGGTATGGCGCGGGCGGGCTGGAGGCGCCGAGGAAGTGGAGGCGGATGGAGGGACCCGTGCAGGTGCTGCGGGGTCACTTAGACACCATTACCTGCTGCGCTGTCTCCTCGGATCTCGAACTTGTTGCCTCCTCCTCGTGCTCCCACGGTGTTCTCGTCCACTTTCTCATGATGGAACGATTTATGCGCCAGCTGCCACGGGTGGGATCCGCTGACCTGCTTGCCATCTCCCCTGAAGGAGTGGTGGTGGTGTGGGAGCGGCAGCAGCGGGCGCTGCGTGCATTCACGATAAATGGAGCAGCGGTGGCGGGGGTGGGGATCTCGGAGGAGCACGGCGATGTGAGCAGCGTGCAGGTGTCGAGCAACGGGCTGTTTGTGGCCGTGGGCACGGACTGCAGCCGCTGGCGGCACGTGCAGGAGAAGGAAGGGCAGAGGGAGAGGGAGCATGCTGCTGTGATTGCCGGGTTTGTGTTTGTGTTCTCTCTAGGCTATAGTGGGTTAGCCTACAAGGGGTACAACACTTTAGGGTTAGTACTTGTACCCAACTCATTCATAGTTCATTCATTCCTGCACAGTGATTCTGACATGGTATTCAGAGCAGGAAATCTGTTAAGTTTTTAGGGCCCACCGATCGTTTTGTTAGTTCCTGCCCGAAGCGCCCTTGCGCTGTCCGGCCCTCTCGCACAGTGTCACGCTGCCCTGCAACTACTCGCACTGCCTGCCCTAGCGCGCTGCCCTACTGTCATGCGCGCCCCTGCTGCCCAAGAGCAGCCCCTGCTGCTTGCGAGCAGCCCCTGCCCCGTGCGCCATTGCTTCCTGTGAGTAGCCCCTGCCCCGAGCGCCCCTGCTGCCCGCGACCAGCCCCTGCCCTGCGTGCCCCTTCTGCCCGCGAGCAGCTCCTGCCCCAGCGCGCCCCGTCTGCAGGGTTGCGTCTGCAGGGTTCGCGCCCTACTGCCCTGCGCGTCGCGCCCCGCTGCAGCCCGCGCGTCGCGCTCTACTGCTCCGCGCGTCGCGCCCTACTGCAACCCGCGCATCGCGCTCTGCTGCCCCGCGCGTCGCGCCCTGCTGCAGCCCGCGCGTCGCGCCCTGCTGCCCCGCGCGTCGCGCCCTGCTTCAGCCCGCGCGTCGCGCCCTGCTGCCCTGCACAGAGCGCGCCCTGCTACCCGCGCCGCCCAGCCCGAGCCGGCCTCCTGCTACTACTGCTGCTGCTGCTGCTGCTGCTTGTGCTACCGCTGCTGCTAGTGGAGGTGCTGCTGGGAGTGCTGGAGGTGCCGCCGCCCAGCCCCACCGAGCCGCCCTGCTGCTACTACTGCTGCTGCTGCTGCTCGTGCTACTGCTGCTGCTGGTGGAGGTGCTGCTGGGAGTGCTGGAGGTGCTGCTGGTGCTGGAGGTGCTGGAGGTGCGGCTGGGAGTACTGGAGGTGCTGCTGGTGCTGGAAGTGCTGGACCTACTACTGACCGTCACTGCCTGTCATGGCCACTATCACGGCAGTTGCAACGGCTAGGGTTGGACAGCAGCGGTCACTGCCTCTCCCGAACGACCCCACCCCTCAGCAGCTTTGTGAGTGGGTTATTCAGCAAGGCAATCCTGGTGGTGGAGGTTTTGGTTTTATGTGGCCTCAGCGACCTCGCGACTGTGCTTCTCAGCGATGCGTCATTGGTCGTGTAGAGGCTGCTGCTCTCGGTTCTAGTGAGTCTGCTGCCGCTCCAGGTGCTGGTGAGTCTGCTTCAGCTCTAGGTGCTCGTGAGTCTGCCGACGCTCTAGGTGCTAGTGCGTCTACTGCCACAGGTCCTGCCTCAGCTGAGGCCTTGCACACTTTCACGCTTGACTCAGGCGCGTCACGTAGCTTTTTTCGTGATTGCACCACAGTCACACCACTCGCAGCACCTGTCCCAGTCTCACTGGCTGACCCCATTGGGGGCCCAGTAGTTGCGCGAGCCTCCACTGTCGTCCCGTGTTGGCAGTCCCCTCTGGATCTCTCTCAGGTCTCCACCTCCCCACGTTCTTGACGAACTTGTTGAGCAACGCAATTCTCCAGGATGAATGGGTTGACACCTTCATTCCAGGAGAACAGCGTGTGGCGATCTGTAAGTGCTCACGGACTGGCCGTCACCTTGCTACAATCACTCGTCAGCCAAGGTCCGGTCTGTACACCCTGACCACTGCGTCTGCACAGGTGGCTGAGTCAGGTCAGGTGGCTGCGTCGAGTCGGGTGTCTGCGTCTTCTCAGCTTGCAGCGTCTTGCTCGTGTCGGGTACTCTCTCACCAGAATCTCCTCTGGCACCACCACCTAGGTCACCCCTCGCTGCCGCGTCTCCGCAGCATGCACTCCCGTCTCCTTGTCTCTGGCCTTCCCAGGTCCCTGCCCTCCCTCCCGCGCTCGTCTGCCCCACCGTTCCTTCCCTGCGTCGAGGGGCGGCAGCGGGCCATTCCTCACTCCCCCGAGTTTCCTCCGACCACTGCTCCTCTGCAGACTCTCCACATGGACGTTTGGGGCCTGGACCCCGTCGATGGGACGGACCAGGAGCGCTACTTCCTGCTGGTTGTTGACGACTACACACGCTACACCACTGTCTTCTCCTTGCGGCGCAAGGCGGATGTCAGCGATGTTTTGATCCCCTGGATCCATGCTACCCGTCGCCAGCTGCACGAGCGGTTTCGTCGGGACTTCGCAGTCCTGCGTCTGCACTCTGACAGGGGCGGTGAGTTCTCTTCTGACCTCCTTGCGGAGTTCTGTCGAGACGAGGGCATCCGCCAGTCTTTCACGCTTCCGGCCTCTCCTCAACAAAATGGGATTGCTGAGCGTCGCATTGGCTTGATCATGGAGGTTGCTTGTACCTCCATGATCCATGCGGATGCTCCCCATTTTCTATGGCCGTTTGCGGTTCGATACGCTGCGCATCAGCTCAACCTCTGGCCCCGTGTCTCTCAGCCAGAGACCTCGCCCACACTCCGGTGGACGGGGAAGGTTGGCGATGCATCGGTGTTTTGGGTTTGGGGCGCGCTCTCCCTTGTTCGCGATGCCAAAGTGAGCAAGCTCTCCTCTCGCACTCTCCGCTGGGTCTTCCTTGGCTTCCCCACCGACGCCCCGCCGTGGCAATTTTACCACCCGCGCTCGTGTCGAGTCTTCTCCTCCCATGACGTCACCTTTGACGAGTCTGTCTGTTACTACACGCTACACCCGCACGCGTCCCACCCGGTCCCCCTAGCGCCTCTTTTCTTGGTACCAGTCCCCCCCTCGGTAGACCCCCTCCCCCCACAGGGTCCTGCTCCCTCAGGTGTGTCTCGGGTAGACCCACCCCCCTTGGTTGAGCCTTTGGAGGTCTCTTCTGACTCCTCTGGCCCAGCTGAGGGGGGTGACCCCGCCGCTGACGACACGGCGGCCACTCGCCGCTCTCCACGCTTGGAGACCCCCCCTGGTTTTCCGCCTCGGCCGTCTTCGCCGCCTCCGCAGCCTGCTGCTGTGGACTCTGGAGCTGAGACTGCTGGTGCTGAGCCTGGGGGTGCTGAGACAGAGGGTGAGGGTTCTGGGGGTGCTGCGACTGGGGGTGCTGCGACTGGGGGTGCTGGTTCTGGGGGTGTTGCGATTGGGGGTGCTAACTCTGGGGGTGCTGCGAGTCCTAGTGGCGGTGGAGCTGTGGGTGACCATGCTGGAGGTCCTAGAGCTAGACAGCCACCGCAGCCTGATCTACTTGAGACGCTCTCGCCGCAGGCGATTCGTGCGTGGATCGTTCGGCAAGGCAGTCCTGGTGGTGGAGGGTACGGTCCTGCTGGTGCTGGAGCTGCTAGTCCTGGAGGTACTGCTGGTGCTGGAGGTACTGGAGGTACTGGTGGAGGTGCTGGAGGTGTTGCTGGTGCTGGAGGTACTAGAGGTGCTGCTGGTGCTGGAGGTGCCGGAGCTACTAGTCGTAGAGGTGCTACTGGTGTTGGAGGTGCTGGACCTACTAGTCCTGGAGGTACAGCTGGTGCTGGAGGTGCTGCTGGTGCTGGAGGCGCTGGAGCTGGAGGTACTGGAGGTGCTGGAGCTGCTGGTCCTGGAGGTGCTCGTACGGGAGGTGCTGGAGCTGCCAGAGCTGGTGGTGCTGTTAGTGCTGGAGGTGCTGGGGGTACTGGAGCTGCTGGCACTGGAGGTGCTAGTGCTACTAGTGCTGGAGCTGCGGGAGCTGCTGGTCCTGGAGGTGCTCGTACAAGAGGTACTGGAGCTGCAGGAGCTGGTGGTGCTGCTAGTGCCGAAGGTGCTACTGGAGCTGCTGGCACTGGAGGTGCTGGTGCTGCAGGTACTGGAGGTGCTGGAGCTACTGGTACTGGAGGTGCTTGTACTAGAGGTGTTGGAGTTGTCGGAGCAGGTGGTGCTGCTGATGCTGGAGGTGCTGGAGGTGCTACTGGAGCTACTAGCACTGGAGGTTCACGAGGTACTGCTGGTGCTGGAGGCGCTGGTGCTGGAGGCGCTGGAGCTGGAGGTACTGGAGGTACTGGAGGTGCTGGAGCTGCTGGTCCTAGAGGTGCTCGTACTAGAGGTGCTGGAGCTGCCGAAGCAGGTGGTGCTGCTGATGCTGGAGGTGCTGGAGGTGCTACTGGAGCTGCTGGCACTGGAGGTGCTGGAGGTACTGCTGGTGCTAGAGGTGCTGGCGCTGCCGGAGCTCGTGGTGCTGCTAGTGCTGGAGGTGCTACTGGAGCTGCTGGTGCTGGAGGTGCTGGTGCTGCTGGTGCTGGAGGAGCTGGAGCTGCTGGTACTGCCCCGCGCCGACTGTTATTTCTACCCGCAGCCACAGTCGTCCCTGCCGCCGCCTGACTCGGTCCTTCGCCAGGTTCTTAGTCTCCCATCTTCCACTGGCCTCACTCCACCTCTCCTGAGTCCACCGACAGACCAGTCTCAGCCACAACTTCTGCCTGGCTCCCCGCTGCCTGCTTCTGCTCCTCACACTGAGGTGACTGAGTCCCTGACTGAGCGACGTGAGCCTGAGACTCGTGCTTCCACACCTGTTCGCGCTCGTCGTGTCGCCCGTCCTCGTCCTCCTGCTGTCCCAGGCACTCACGGCATGACACTTCGTCCTTCCTCTGTTCCACAGCGTGTTGTCCTGCCTGAGCCTCCCGCGTCCTCTCTTCCGCACATTCCTGACCCTGAGTCTGACCTTGCTCGTGCTGCCAGTCCTACTGTCACTCGTCTCCTTGCTACTGTCGTCACTGACCTTGAATTTGAGTCTACTGCTGCGTTTTCCCTAGTCATTGAGCTAGTCGACTTTGCAGCTAGGAGTCGTCTTGACTACGTCGCGAGTCTTGTTACTGAGTCTGAGTCTGTCTGTCCTCCATCCGTCGGGGGTGAGCCTGCCCTTAGCAGTGACGTCCTTGAGGACAGGCAGTTTGAGCTTGAGTGTCTTGCGGCCGCTTTACCTCGTTTCGCATCCATGCTGCTTTGCCTTGAGGGAGACCCGGATGCACTTGACATCCCTACGCCGCGCTCTTACGCTGAGGCGATTGCGAGTGAGTACTCCTCTTAGTGGTAGACAGCCATGGACGCCGAGATGGCTTCCTAGAAGTCTGCAGGCACCTACGTCGACGAGGTTCCTCCTCCTGCGGCGAACATAGTCGATGGCATGTGGATTTTCAGAGTGAAGCGGCCGCCGGGCTCTCCGCCTGCCTTCAAGGCGCGTTACGTTGCTCGAGGCTTCAGTCAACGACAGGGGGTCGACTTCATCCAGACCTTCTCCCCCACCCGGAAGATGGCTACTCTTCGGGTGCTGCTGCACGTTGCTGCACATCGTGACTACAAGCTGCACTCCCTCGACTTCTCCACAGCTTTCTTGCAGGGCAGCCTTCACGAGGAGATCTGGCTGCGCCGCCCACCTGGCTTCATTGGGTCGTTTCCTGCGGGTACCCAGTGGAGCCTCCGGCGGCCAGTCTACGGTCTCCGCCAGGCGCCCCAAGAGTGGCACGACACACTGAGGACTACACTTGCGGCTCTTGGGTTTGCTCCTTCCTCTGCTGACCCGTCGCTGTTTCTATGCACCGACACTACCCTGCTGCCGTTCTACGTTCTCGTGTACGTCCACGACTTGGTTTTTGCTACTGCTGACACTGAGGCGCTGACCCTAGTGAAGGTGGAGCTGCAGGAGAGACACACCTGCACTGACCTGGGTGAGCTGCGTAGCTATCTTGGCTCGCAGATCACCCGGGACAGAGCACGGCGCACCATCACCCTGACTCAGTCACACATGGTGCACCAACTCCTTCAGCGCTTCGGCTTCCAGTTCTCCTCTGTCTACCGGCCACTCGCTCTCAGCTCCACCTTTGGATGAGTCCGTAGAGCCGAGTGGTCCGTACCCAGAGCTTGTTGGTTGCCTCATGTACCTGATGACGTGCACACGACCTGACCTCGCGTACCCTCTCAGCCTCCTGGCTTGCTACGTGGCTCCCGGTAGACACCAAAAGGTGCACTGGGATGCTGCGAAGAGGGTACTGCGTTACTTGTGCAGTACATCGGGCATGGGGCTCGTGCTTGGAGGACGGGGTTCAGTGGTACTCACAGGACACTCCGACGTTTCTTGGGCCGACGATCAGGCGACTCAGCGTTTGTCACAGGGTTACACCTTCAATCTTAGCTCTGGTTCTATCTCGTGGAGGTCCACTCGTTCTTCTTCTGTGCTTGGTTCCAGCTGTGAGGCCGAGATCTACGATGGGGCCATGGCTGTACAGGAGCTACGCTGGCTGACCTACTTGCTGACCAACTTGGGGGAGTGGCATCGTTCTCCTCCAGTTTTGTACGTCGACAACAAGACAATGCTTGCCTTGTGTCGCGAGCAAAGACTGGAGCACAGAACGAAGCACATTGCTCTTCGCTACTTCCTTGCACGTGAGCTGCAGCAGCGTCTTCAGCTCCGCCTTTCCTACGTGGCCTCGCGGGCCAACACTGCTGATGTGTTCACGAAGGCCCTTGGGTCTGATGATCATCAGCGTTTCTGCACTGCTCTTGGGTTTGTGCCCACTGTGCCTCACATGCTGGTTGCTTGACTTGCTCTTGTTGTACACTGATATTTTCTCTTGAT